ACTCTTCAGGTGACTAGTTGTATGAACTGTGGTTTATCTATGGCATGAGATAATACTCAACAATAAAAAAGGGAGTCTGTTGATGCATACAAACACCTGTGTGGATGGCCGTAGAATTTTGCACCTGGGAGGGGTGAGGAGACTCATGCATAGCCTGAAAAGACTGTTTGGTTTGGTATCTATATATAACATTTTTTAAATTATAGAAATGCATAAATGGAGGAAAAGATACCTTAAGGGTATCTGGTAGATACTTTGTACTGGAAGAAACTGTTCTATGCCTTGCCTATCTGAGTGTCAGTATCCCAGTTGAATTATTGTATTATCTAACTAAATCTAACTCATTGCTGTGGAGTCAGAACTGATTCATTGCTAACCTGCCAGCTAGTTTCCCTGAGGCTGTAAATCATGCAGAAAGAGTACCTATCTTGCTCCTGCAGAACTGCTGCTGCATCAAAACCAGCAGAGAGACAAGACCTTTGGGTTAACAGCACAGCTCCCTACTGACTGGGTCACCAAAGCAAGACATACACTGTAGGTTTTGTCAAAATGTTACCATAGAAGGAAACTGATTAAGAATAACACAGAGTCTGTAATATAATCTCTTACCAGTCCAGCTATCTGAATCTACAATTATCTCAAGATTAAACCATCAAAAAAAGGGGGAAATGAGTTACTGTTCATACAAGGTTTGTGGTTAACTAAAGTAAACATAAAATTGCAACATAACCTAAATAGATGATGTTAGAGGCATATAGTGCTTTTAAAGAGTACATTAAGAAAGGTGTAGAAATTTCCACTTAGGCAAATATTTCTTTGGACCAACTTTCCTGTGTAAAAGAATGTGGAAGAAGAAAAAAAAGAAAATGATGAAGGTTATATAAAGTTTTATATATATATAGAGAGAGAGAGAGAGGAAAGAGCGAGCATATGAGTACACATGTATTTCAAGATAATCAGGTGTAAGAATAGAATAGGCAGGACTTAAAGCTGCAGAAGGTAATAACCACAGAAAAGTAAAATTGGAATTCTTCACCATATTTTCCCTCAAGGCATTTGCTGATTACTAAGGGGAAAATGTATATGTGTACAAGAGGCAGGGTACAAGAGGCCAAGAAGCCAAGCATAAAATAGTAGCTGAGAGATAAATAAACAGAATCTTCAGCATAATAAACAGAATCTTCAGCAGTCATAGGAGTTCAGGGCCTGTCATGAAGAGAGTCTCTTGCAAACATCTCAGACTTTCAATTTAAACCCCTGAAGGGCCATGCTCTAGAAATAAAGACAAATTGGAATAAACAAACCTTTGCAAAGACTGAAATACAAATTCACCATCTCAATCTTTGATTAAACTTGCATTCATTTTAACTCTCTGTCCAGTATACATTTTCCTTACCAACTGCCAGAAGAAATGCAATAATTTTTAACAAGTCATCCAGACCCTTCACTTTTTCATATATAATAGTTTGAGCTTGACTTTAAAAAATTTATCAAGGGGAGCTCTGGTGGCCTAGTGGCAAGGAACTGCAACTACAATCCCAGAGGTGCACGGTTCGAATCCACCAGATGCTCTGCCGGGGAAGGAGGGACAATCTCCTCCTGTACCAGTCAGATCTGATTTGACGGTACACGCACACAAAAATAATAATTAAAAAAATTATTAGAGGTAGAACAAAATGCCCCAAAATTAAGAGAAAAAAGGGATAAAACATCCCTAAGAGTGGTCCTGTTATTTGTGTTATCAGGTATGGACTTCTGTGTGACTGTAATTAATGTTTAAGAACATTACAAAATGGATTGTTTCACTAGCAACTAGAATCTATTAAAAAGAATCAAATTATAATTTTATAAAAGCGTTGAAAATACAGGAAAAAATAAGACATGTAGGTTAAAGTGAAACATTTAAACTAACTGTATGTGAAGTCTCACAGGAAGAGAGAGTGGGTAAAAGCAATATTTATGAGAGATTGTGGAGAGTTTTTCAAAACAAGACAGTCTCTAATTCTCAAGCAGGATAAACATAAAGAAACCTCAGTGATGATGCTAACACTATTAAAAACCAAAGACAAAGGAACATCCTACCAAAAGAACACTTCACCACTGAAGACTAACAGCTGTCTTTTTAGCAGGAATGACGGGAACTAGGAAACAGTGGAATGGCATTTAGAAAATGTTGAAGGAAAATAACCACCAGAACTTCCTTCAAAAATAAACATGAGTAGAACTACACTAAAGAGATACGGTTTTAGAAAGAAAAATTATGGAAGCATTTACATTTACATTAGGAAAATGAAGAACAAGATAAAGAGTTAATATGTGGGTAAAGGTAAATTATTTAATTGTATAAAATAATGATCAGATTAAATATAGGTAGGATCTATGTGGTGTATATAGTACATGTATATATTCAATAAATGTAACGTGTAGATTTAAAATATATTGTAAAAAAATGCATGTGTTAGTTGAATATGTATTCCTTACTATATATCATCAGGTTGATTCTGACACATAACAACCCTGTATTATAGCATAATACTCCCTCATATGGTTTCCTGATCTGTACTATTTATAGGAGGAGATCACTATATACTTTCTCTTGCTGAGTGGCTGGTCGTTTCAAACTTCCAACCTATCAATTAGCAGCCGAGGGTTTAATCATTGTGCCACCAGGAGAAGCAGGGGTACATATGTTTGTAATATTGAAAACTAGCAATGGGATAAATTGAGTTAACCTGTTTTAAGGTTCTTACATTGTCCAAAGAGTGAGAAAAATATCAAAGGCTGTAATAAGTCAAAGATGTACATTATACTTTCTAGAATAAACATTAAAAGCATAATATAAGATTAAAACACTAACAACAAGTTAATAAAAAAAAAGTTGATAAATCCAAAAGAAAAGTGTGAAAGAAGAGTTAAAAAAAACAAGACAGTTATGGCAAAAAGAGCACGAGTAGTGTGGTGATAGTTTTTTATTTTGTTTTTCTTTCTAATGGTGATAATTTTAAGCGCCAATATAGTAACAATCATATAAAATGTAGACTAAAGCCTTCCATTAAAAATTGTTGTTCTGGATTTTTTTAAAAGAATGCTAAGTATATGCTGCTTAAAAGAGACTCACCTTAAAGAAGTCTGGTGGCGCAAACAGTTAAGTGCTTGACTATGAACCGAAAGGTTAGAGACTGGAGTCCACCAGCTGCTGCATGAGAGAAAGATAGGGCTTCCTACTCCCTGAGATTATAGGCTTTGAAAGTCTGTGGGGCATTTCTCCTTCGGGAAATAGGTTTGGTGTGGTTTTAAGAGAGGCTTACCTTAGTTATAAAGTTGAAAGTAAATTTTTTTTAAGTACTAAAACATAAAATGGTTAATCTCTCTTGCCATTAACTGCTTCTTGCCAAAACCTGCAGGAGGGTGAGCTATGGGTGGGTTCCAACTACATTGCACACAACAACAATACTGCAGATGTATAGATATCACAGAACATTAAGGTAAGGATTATTACATATAAGAATAAAGAACATTTTATAATGATAAGAGAAGTTCATCAGGAAAATCTAACAATTCTAAGTCTGTCACATCTAATAACCTAGTCTAGAAAAAGAAATCATCTTTCCTTAGGATTTTAGGGGATTCTGAGAAGATAGCTAAGATAAGGATGGAAGTGAAGAGAGGAGCTCAAAAGAAAAAGTATTCCAGGGAAAAAGTGGAATATTTTCAAAGGCCAGAAGTTAAAAATCTTAGGAAACTTAAAGAAATACAGTCTTACTGTGATGTGGAGAAGAGACTGTGAGAGAGTAATAAGACTGAGTGGGAATAGAAAAGAAGGCTGAGTGGTAGGAACAATGATTAGTAAAAGGGGGCTTGAAAATACAAAAGTCTTAAATATAATATAAAAAGAAAATACTTCCTCTCTGGAATGAGGAAGCTATTCAGGTATTACACAATGACCTGATCAGATTTGTTTTTAGAAGATCTCTTAATCCTCTATGGAAAATGAATTGGAGGAAGACCAGGCCTGTTTCAGTAGTTAGAGATAATATTGGCTGAAGCTATGGACAAAAGTGAACAAAACAAAAATAAGGTGCCTACAGCTTATAAAATATTCACATTTTAGTTAGATTCCTTACTCTTTTTTTTTATTGTTGTGTGCGTGTACCGTCAAATCAGATCTGACTGGTACAGGAGGAGATTGCCCCTCCTTCCCCGGCAGAGCATCTGGTGGATTCGAACCGAGATTCCTTACTCTTGAATTAGTAGATAAAGACCTGAAGACAATACAACATGCTTTCATCTCCTCCCCCCCCCCTTTATTTCTACAAAACCAATTGCAATATAGTGTTAGATTTCGTTGATAAAAGTTAGGATTGGTCAGATCACTCTGGGGTAGTTGTAACCATAGAGCATTTGTGAGCAGAATATAAAGAACAAGGAAATACGCTTGACCTGCTTTAGACTTCCCTTCTACATTTAAGTTGGGGAGGGCTTGTTGTTGTTTTGGTTTTGTGATTTTTGTTGTTCTTGTTGTTGTCGTTTTTCAGTTGACACACTTAGATTTGGTAGCCTGTGAGTAAATATCAAGATTCTTCTCAAGGACATATATTGGTTTAAGTCCGCTGAGCAAAAGGTGTGTGGTTCATATATATGGTTTCCCTGCTCGAGTACAACTTTTTAAAGCATATTTGTTATCCTTTCTCACATAAAATTCTGTCTTGAAAGACAGCCATCAGCCCTTCAAATAATGTCACTGTAGTTCTTTATTATCTACCTCCCTCTACTGAAATGTACTCTCGGAGGGCAAATTATCACTTTTGTTCAGGGCTCTATCCTCCACTTCTTACCATGGTACTCAACATGTAGCAGGTGCTGAATGAATATTTATTGAGTAATAGATTGAGAAATGTTTGCCTGAAATAAGCTTATTTTATTACATTATTTGTTTTCCTTTCATTTAAAATTTTAAAATCTGGTATTAAAATAAAGTGATTCTTTTTTTCTGTTTGCAGGACTATCTCAAGCAGGTGCTGGACATTGATCTTCATGCTCAGATCCATTTTGGCAGAGTTTTTATGAAACCAGGGTAAGAAAATAATCATTTTATGCTATACCCAGGGTTTGGCTAACCTTGACTAACAAAGACTTAAATAATTTCTTTTTACATTTTCTATTATAGATTGTTCTAATGTGAAATAAGAAACTGTGTTAGAACTCTTTGTACAAGTGTAACTCCTACCTGAAATGGGAATTCATCTTGCTTATGAATCACTGGATCCGGTATAAACGAAGCAAAGCAACTTTCCTCCTTCTTAGTTCCCAAAGTTATCTTCTCCTGTTCTTTCTCCTCACATTGCTTTTCTGTTGAGGATTCTAGAATGGAAGTAGGGAGAAGAGTGAGTGCTTCATTGGTCCATCACTCAGCTTCATCGATTATCAACCTCTTTTTATAGTTTTTTATTAATTCCCACCCTCTGCCTTTTTGGCAGGGGAAGAGAGGGCTATACTATTTTAAAGCAAATGCTAGGCTTTGTCATCTTGGTATACATATCAAATAATAATACCAACAGAAACAACAATGGTAATACATAATTAACTTATGTAATTACAATGGCAGTATTATCTCACCTGAAATATCATGTCATATTCTTGTAATATTCAAATTTCCCTTCAAAATTTAAGAAAAAAATGGCTTTTTATAATTGTTTTATTTTACTCTGTTTTATTTGACTCAAGATTCAAATAAAGTGTTCTTATTTCATTTGATTGCTTTTATGAAATCAGAACATTTACTCTGCCCTCTATTTTTTCATGCCACTGATTTGTGGAGGAAAACTGCCACTTGCCTGGAAGAAGAGATTTGGCTAATTGCGTCTTCGTGGTGGTGTTTAGTTTGTTCCTCTCTCTCCATTATATCCTAGAGCCTGGGAATTAGATTTAAAAGCTTGATTAGATTCAGATTCCAATTTTGTTTTTATAAGAATATTTTAAAGTAATGTTTTGTATTGTATATTAAGATCTCTTAGAGGGAGAGGGAAAATGACATCTCTTGCACGTGGGATAAAAACTCATGATTCCTGAGGAAGAGCTATGGAGGTTACTTATTCTCAAATAATGTTAGACATTTGAGTTAGTAAAATATTTGTGGCTATGTCTTTAAGCAGTGTGTGCCTTCTTGGTTCGCTGTTTCTCTAATAAAACTTTGATACCATGTTCAAAGGCCTCAGTGTATGGGTGACCATTCCAGCGTGCCTCCATAATGCCCCAGGCAATAGTAATAATACTTTAAATACAGAATTATACTCTGGTGTGTATTCATATGAATCCTAAAAGACAGTAGATGTAAATTTCCCAGTTGTTTAAAGAGAGTTATGAGAATCATCAGCAAAAGCCAGAAGCCATTTAAGTGTTAAGTCAGCTCTCTTAATATCCCTGATTTACTCGGTATCTGCAGTCACTTCAAGGACAAGAATCAGGCTTACCCTCCGTGATTTGGCTATTTAAGTTTAGAGTTAAAATAATTCCTAAAGTTTCTCCAGATTTGATTTCATTTCTAATTCTTGGCACTAAGTTTCCATAAATGCCTGTTGAGTGTGAACTACTTTGCCACTGCCAAGGCCCTTTAATTGAAACTCTTGGATTTGCCTTATTCTTATTAATAATAATATTTTCTCTAGAGCAAATATTGTTATGCTGTGAATATACAAACTTTTGTTTATAGCCTCTCCCTGTGGAGAGTAACAAACATTTCAAAAGAAACAGTACAAAATTGAACAGATTACTCTCTTTGCAATGAGAAGGAAGCTAATGCTTCTTGACCTTAACTCTAGAGAATTATTTGTATGTTTTTCATTTAAAATAATCTCAGCATCTGTGTTCTCTTCCTTCAGTCTATTTATAGCTTATTTGAATTTTAGGAATTCATCA